ACTCCTACATCTAACTTATTAATATTCAATAAATTAATCAAAATCTTTCTCTCAGGATCATTCCCGACACACTCCACTAGACGATGGTAGACATCCTCTATTTTATTACTACAAACTGGACATATCGGAGAATCCACCTTTTTCATAAGGAAAGCAAAGAATCGTAGTGGCATGTGTCCGGAACGAATTCTGAGAGCAGTTACTAAGACATTTCTCTTTACTTTAAAATTACAAAACCAAGGGACTTGAGGAGGCTCATATTGTATAGTTTTATACCAGATACCTTTGACTTTTGATTTCTCACTAAAGTATTTTGCCCATTCATAATAACATAAGTTTTTAAATTTGTTAAGTCTTTCAGAATAAACTGGTAGCACATAAATCTCAATACCCGACGTTGCTGCTATCTTAGCTAGTCTATCAGCCTCCTCGTTTCCTCGCAGACCAACATGTGACGGTATCCACTGTAAAACTAAATTGACGTTTTTTGAAAGAATGGTATATATTTTATTCAAAATTGCAAAGGCTATTGGTACACCTCTGTGTCCAGTGGCGCATCGAGCCAGATGTTGGAGTGAGCTCTTACTGTCCGTGCATATCACTATACTAGTGTGTTGAATTGTGGTTGCGTAAGATAGAACCTCGGAGATAGCTAACAACTCTGCTGTCATAATTGAAACCTCGGATATAATGCTGAAACATCCGCTTGTTTTAGCCACCGGATCATAGTAAGCCGCACCAATATTAGAGCTCTTTGAACCATCAGTAAACAATTTATACCAACCAGCGTATGTGTCACTTATAACTCCTGTAAAGTACTATTTCTTAAACAATTAGTCTCATATGAACTTTTGGGTTTGCTAACGTTCTGTAAGTCAATTTTAATTACTCTGTTAATGTCAATTATACTACACCATATATTCAATTTAAACATGTCTAAAATACTAGATGAATATATTTTTTCTTCTTTAATACTATGGTATGTGTCCATCAAAACCGGGTGTTTCTTACTTGACCAATATCTGTGTTGTCTCAGAGCACCAAGATCAGCTAAGCATTTACCCGTCACATTATTAGTCCATGACTTAGCCTTAAGACAGCATTTAAATGCCAGATACTTACGTCTAATATACAACGTTCATGCTTGCATAAATTTGGCTTGTAGGTAATTTTAATATAATGAGTCGGTAGTCCGGATAATCGCGAATCCGTATAACTGAACGCCGGATAATCGAGTTCCTACTGTAGTGTAAAAACCTAAAATCTTTTCAGGCAACTCCCTCTGTCCTATTTAACGGACCTTAATTACTTTTATTTTTCTTAAGTTTCTGCCAACCTTTGATCGCATGTTTTACGCGGAAAAAATCGTTTTTTTTTACTTTTGCGATTACTGAAATAGAATAAAAATTAGGAAGTTCTTATTAATTTTTGCTTAGGCACGTTGGGGGCCCCTGTAGTCCGGGGGCCCCGTATAATTGATACGGCAGATACGGCGCTAGCTACGCCTCTGGATTTCTGTGTGCGCTCTCTAACCTCATGCAGATTGGTCGATAAGTGCAGCGTATAAGTACTGAGCAAGGGATTCTGATCGTATACATGTTAAGAACTCGAGAATGGTGGTCGCAAGAGCAAATTCTGAGCATGGAGTCTCGGGTTTCATTTCCGTGTTTGGTAAAGTATCATTGGGGACTTTATGCGGTTTTTTTTAAAGTTTCCCACCACTAGCACAGCACATTTTATTGATATGGAGTCTAGAATGGTGATTAACGCTCGGTATAGCAATGAACTCACTTACTTATTGCATAGAATTAATATTTTTATAATAACTATCGTGAGACATACTAAATTAACTATAACTAATAACGACGCGTGACGAGTCGCGATGACCGTGCACGCTGCTCATGAGGAAGAACCCCTCTGTGGTTCGAAACTAGTTGAGCTTTGCTAAGTATATTCCCGTGAGTAACCCGCGATTTTATATAGTTAATTTAGAAACAATATTGTTACTGATGAAAAGTAAGCATTTTCATATTGTATGTCTATCTCAAGCAACTCCTCCAGGAATGAAATTATTTTCAAGAACTCACCGTAACAAAATAATAAATTTTAGATATCAACATGGGTGTAAACTGTAGCGCATGATTCATGGTTGCATTGCTGAAGTCTAAGATCCAGTGGTCTCCATGTGTGACGTCATTTAATAGTCTATAATCTCCCATCAGAAACCCTAGTTTGGCCACATCTAGAACAACCATATCTGGGTTCACGATTCTGGAAAGAGAAAAAAGACATTGAGTTAGTAAGCATCCCTTATGCACATCGACGATTGGCAGGCCAGAACTGTGCGCTTCTCAGGTAGCTTTCTGCCTCGCACAACAAAACTGTGAAATGATCTGTCGTCGGCGGTATTTCCGAATCGATACGACCTTCAAACCTTCAAGAAAAGAGCGTATTCCTTTTTAAAAGGCTGGCAAGACACCTGTAACTCCTTTGGTGTTGCGGGTGTCTGTGGGTGACGTTCATCGCTTACCATCAGGTGATCCGTATGCTCGTTGGCCCCCTATTCCATAAAAAATGACGTAAACCGGTAAACGAGCAAACGGTGTCGTCCACCGATAACCGGAACATTAGAGGCGTTACAAGTGCGTTACAGGCCTTTTGGGAATTGGGAGTTTGAGGATTGTGGAGGATTCGGGGATTGGGTAATTGGGCCTCCAGTAACCTAACTGATATGACGAAACACAACGCAAGCGTTGTTTCACGTCGGTTTTCTGTGAGGTGGTATCACTCCGGTCGAGCCGGCCCATTCGTGCCGAAGCATGACTGTCCCACGCGTAAACACATTTACAACCACTTTTAAAATAACATCATCCAAACAAATGGGAGCTTCTATTACAACTGGCAAGCCAGTAACTCAACTTCAAACTGAGCTAAAATGGCTTGGACGTCAGCTGGAAGTCTTAAAATTTTCATGATCTAAGTCAGGGGTTCCCAACGTTGTCTTGGTCGAGGAACACTTTAATATTCTCCTGTAATGCGACTGGGACAACGGGTCGTCTCGGTTACGATTCCCGGGACGGGCAATGTAAATGAGTTTTTAAATAAATTCTCAGTAGTAGCACAAAGTCTGAAATGTGTCCGGTATATGGAAATATGCTCACCCATATTATATGGGACTCATAACACTAATAGTGACAAGTGGGCACTTAATTCCACTGTACAATGTAACAACATTGTTCAGTGGCATTGAGTGCCGTAATATGTGTGCCGTATGCAGAAGTGCTGTGCCTAGACGCTGGTGAGATCGTAGGGAAGAACCAGGTCGTTGCACACGATGGTGGTCCATGATGAGGCCGAGGATGCTGGTTGGCTGCGTCTTGATTACCGCTCAGCGGAGAAGTGAGGATGACGGTGCGTTGATCTGCTCCGTGAAGTGAAGGTTGCTTCCGATCACGTCGGGGTCACCACTTTAGGAAACAGAGATTATAATTCCCTAAGATCGGAAAAGGAGGATCCTCCGGTCAGGGTAGGTGATCGTGCCTGGCGGGCTTTCTGCTCAACAGTTGTTCGTTGGGATTTTCTGTTCGTGTTAATTCGATTGTAAACTTCGCATGTGCGATGTAGGATTTTATGACGTCATCCGTTGACCTGTGACATGTGTCGCCACAAACAAACGTGATTTTATGTATATGTACTTTCTAATATCTTCTGCAGCCACTGGTGTTCTACGAACCACCGGTTGAGAACCACTGATCTAAGTCGTGACAGGAACGTGGCCAGTAAACGGACTTTGCAGACCACCTGTGCATATTTATAAGGTTTCTCCGAATGCAGGTAAATTGGATAGTACTTTTTGGATTTCGTGGTCATTTTTGGTGATTAGTTTTAAGGAAAAAGTCAAAGTCAAAATCATTTATTTCAATTAGACCCAGGAAGGCACTTTTGAACGTCAGCAATAGAAATTAGACAACAACTAGTATAAAATAAGTTCGTCGAGTTGGCTAATTGGCTAAGTAGGTACTTATGCATGCATGCAAGCATGGCAGCTGTTATAGTCAGGCTGCATTTCAAATTACTGAGTTCAATCCGTATATTGTATACAAAATCTTAAGCTCTGAAGATTTTGTTTCTTTTTTTTCTTTGGGTAGCAATCAAGTCTCCTGTAATATTCAGAAGTTAGGTACTTATTCTTACGTCCAAAATTATTTAACAACACAATCATTTCTGTGTGAAAAATTAAACAATATTTTTTTTTTAATTAATCATAAATTAATTACTAAGTACCTAACATTTTTGCTAAGTAGGTACGACCATGAGACATAATTTTAAATTAGGTAATTTTAATGATGCCTTCTTGCCTCGATGCCTCGATGGCCGAGTGGTCGCAAGGGCGACTACCGGGCAAGGGGCCTCGGGTTCGATTCCCGGGTAAAGTGTTACTAGGTTTTAAAAAAGTTCCAATAGTATCACAGAGTCTAGAATTGTGCCCGATAATTGACAATAAGCTCACCCTCTATTACATGGGACTCATAACATAAATAGTGAAAAGTAGATGTTACTTCTACCTACCCCTTCGTGGATAAAAGGCGTGATGTTATGTTAAGTAATTTTTATTTAATTAAATTTCGCTCGAGATCAAAGCTATAATAATAACCAACGTAATTATAGATATATACTAGACATACTAGCTACTGCCAGTAGTTCCACTCGTATTCCTGTGGGATATAAAGTGGTCTACGTGTTATTATAGACCATGATCTACCCCAGTTCCAAATTCCATCTCGATCCCTTCAGCCGTTTTCACGAGAAAGAGTAACAAACACGCAGACACACTCACACTCACATATCTCCTCAATAACTCGCATTTATAATATTAGCAGGTTAGATTAGTAGGAAGTAGGATTTGATCAACAAAATGTAAGCAACAGATTTCTTGTTTGTTCACTTAAAGCTTCATCGCTCTAATACTAGATGGCACCACATTCACGGAAAGTTCTATCAAAACGGTGACGTCACGAAAACTAGTTATAAATCGATTTAATTAGATGAAAAATGGTTTTGCATAATACTTGCGTAGTACGGAAGTTTGTGTAATACGAGATATTATTGTTTTAAGGAAGTATTTTAATCTAGTTTCTTTATGTAATCAAGATGGTCATTTGCGGAAATATTATTATAATTAGCAGGAAAATATGTGGACACGGACAACTCAGTTGTAGCTGGTAACGACAAGTCATGCAATTTGATGGAAGGTAAAGGCATTGAAACTGTTTTTATAGGCACGTGTTAATCAATGAGAGTTATGGTTTTTATTGCTTGCTACTTAAGAACCTATTTGTCCAATCAGTGTATTGCTATTAAAAATGGACTTATTCAATATGGTTGGATACTGGGAAATTCTGTTTTGGATAGGACCTCATCCTATAAATAATAATGGTCTTCATAAACCATGAATAAATACCAGTTTTTTTTTTAATTCTCAGTAGTAGCACGGAGTCTGGAAATGTGTCCGCTATATGGCAATAGGCTCACCCCCTATTACATGGGACTCATAA